TATATTTATTCATTATAATTATATTTAATTTGTTATAAAAATTTATTTATTATTATCAATTATATTTCATTTTTTAATAAAAGATAAATGAATGTAACAAATTTAAATAAAATTAAAATTAGAAAGGTACAATCCAAATATTCATTAACAACTTTTTCAAAATGTTAATTTTATTTTTAAGAGTGTAATAAATAGTTGAAATAAAGTAATTGTGAATTATTTCTTGTCACTTATGACATATACATACTAAAACAGTCTTGAAATATAATATATTGCTTTCTTGGAACAATATACACATACTTAATCCTGGAAAAATAGCGAAGTCAAATGCAGCCTCAAAAATTTGAGAAAGAGGGAAAATAAATGAAAGAGAGGTAAAATATAATTTTCATATTAACGATTTTTCTGTATACATTTTATATAAATATATTTTTATTTTTAATAAATACACATAAACTTAATCTTTTAATCTTCCCGTTCATAATATGAACATCATGAGAGACATAAAATCAAATAAAACTTTATATTTTGAAAATGTTTGCATTTTACTTTTGCTTATAATTTTACTTTGCTTCTTTCTCTTTTTATATATTTTATATAATACTTTATATATTTCACAATTTATGTAAGCAATAAATTTGAAAAATTTAATCGACTGTAATACATGTGCAATATTAAAATGATTACATATAATATCTTCTAATGATGTTCTTTAACAGCTGAAAATCTTATTTATTTAGAGCTTTGCAAGCTTGCATTCTTGTATGCACAGTAAATCATCGAATGCTTTCATGTAATCCAGGGTAAATATTGCTTTAATCTACCCTAGCCCATTCCTACATAAAGGCAATGGGAGTGTGAAATGTTACATCTGTTTCCAAGTCTATTCCATTCTGTTATAATATTCACGGATTTATTACCTTTAAAAATAAAATAAAGCGTACTTTCTCACTCACCCATACGATGCGTAGCAGTGGAGTTATATCATCATGTTAATCTGCAAAATATAAAAAAAAATCTGTATTATGGCAGCGCCTAAATATTAATATTAAAGAAAATAATCATTTCATGTGCATTAAATATTTCGTTTGTTTCTTTTTTAATCCTCCACGAACCGGATGGAAAATCAACATGGATCATATCTCACATGTATATCTCACATCCCATGCTATACTCCATCATAAATATACTATAATTTAGTATGATTGGTAACAACACAATCTTCTGTTGCATGAAACCGGCAACATACGCGCGATACTTTTTAGAAAGTTATAAAAAATTCATCATGCTGAGATATGTCACATCCCATCCGGTTCTCGGAGGATGAAATAGATAATAAAGTAAACTACACATAAATTTCTTCTAAAAAATATTTTTTTTCTTAATCATAAACTTTGATAAATAAAAGTTTTTCCTCTAATTCTCTTACATAAATTATAAGATAAAAGAAATTCAATAATTCAAAAGTAACAAACAAAATAATAAATAATAAAATAAATTACTTACTCTAAGGTTGTTCCGCCGTTGCACGATGTCTCTCCTAGGCCTCCTCCTCCTCTCAGATAGCTTCACTGCACTCACACAACACTCGCAAGAACACGTTTAATTAAGATCGTGCGACACTTTGCACGACACTCTCGAAGGTAAATTAGCACAAGAGGTGAATTTCGAATGACAGAAGCGAATCTCGAATAATTATCGTAAATAAACGCTAAAATTGCATTACACAATTGACAAATATATCAAAGCACGAAATAAATTACGATTGTTCTTGACAGTTAAACAAATTCTGATCACTCGAAGTCAATTTGTTCCGTACTCGATTCATTAATACCAAAAATTTAAAATAACAGCTATTTTACCATCATAGCGAGATTAATTAAAAACAATTAAATTACGCGCGTTGATAACCTCTTCTTATATTATAAGACAAAATAGTTCTGATTTTCGTACTTATCGTAATTGAGTTTCAAGAGATAATAATGCGATATATAAAATATTTGTAAGGCAACATGCCTTATGTTAATTTTATACTTGTGTATTCCGAAAAATATAAAACTATAATTTCACACACAAAATAATATAAAAGATATAATACATATAGCCATTTGGTAATTGCTTATTCTGTTCTACCACAAGCCAGAGAAATAATAATAGATAGATCTTTAATAGATATTAGATAACAATTAAGATAACAATTAATAGATAGATTAATAGATAGATCAAAATTAAAAAATTTACGGAAAGTTTAAATTATTAAATTTGAAAGATATTAGAATTATGGGTTAATTTTTTTAAACAGAATCGTAAGACTCGTAACTTGTTCTCGTAAAACTAGTAAGAATTTATGACTGAAGTTGTAATTCTATGCGTACCGTAAGACTTACGATCATTCGTAAATATCTACGATTTCTCGTAAATTTCATTGGCTAGTAAGAAGCTGTCTGTAAGAGTATTGCATAAATTTATAAGCATTTCAGTCATAAGTTCTTACAAGTTCTTATGAAAACAAGTTATGAGTACGATTCTGATGCTTAGAATTGACTTATTAGTATCACAGAATAAAGACTAATCACATCAATCAAAATTGCATAACAGAACAGCAATTTATAATCCTCGCAAATAATATTATTTCGATTACTATTTCAAAAGACTAATCACGTGAAACATTTTTTCGATAGATAAGCGTCGTCCCAATACATCGTTATTATATCACGGGAATTAATTAATGTTTTCTTATCACTTATCGTGATCAATTTTCAAAGAATAAGACGAAATATGAAATAGTACGTTCTACAACCTTCTCATTCGACAGTTGGTGTCCGAATAGTGCGTCGCGCGATACCGGTGACTTTGTTTACGCAGCGTACAATCACGTTATAAAAACAAAGACCAAAGCTGCGTGCCAATCGAATTTTTGCCAATCGAATTTTAACAAATAACATTTAAAATGTTCAGGTAGGTAATATTCACGTAGATATTTTGCGTTTTACATCCTAAATTAATATATCTTATCGCTATTAATATATATTAGAAGCAAGAGCTACTTTTGTTGTTGTGGTTGAAAAAGTTCATTGTAAAATAACATTTATTACTTTTCTAAAAATTTTGTCGTCTTGCATAATTTTAAGAAATTATTTTTATCAAATCAGGTTTTAACAAATCAAGAAAATAAAATAATATTGTCGGGAAAAACGGAAACAATCTTAAATTCTTGATATATTAAATTCACGATTTTGATTCTTTTAAGACATAATGAATATAAATTATATATAATTCCGTCGTGTCCTATCAAATAAAAATATATTTTATTTTAACATTTAAAAATAATTTTAATTGTTTGAAAATTATTGTAATTGCATTTCTATGTTCGAATTTTCTATTAATCTCCAAAGTTCACAATTAAAGTATCATGAGGTAGATGTGGAATATATTGCGTATCAAAATTTATTTAACATCGAATAAAAATAATTTAATGAATGAAGAAAACAAGAATAAAAAAATGATTATTATGTTAATCTCTAAATTATTTCATCTCATAAAACTTTCTTGCCATTACTAAGACCTGTTAATTTTTTAAAATAATTACTGCAGTAAGAGAAATAAAATTTACTAAATATAACATGTGTAGTTGAATTAAAAAAATAATTTCGCAGTAATTAAGAGTTGTAATGCAGTAATTATTTTTTATGGTCATTCGAGCAAATTATTACATTTTTTGAATAAATGTAAATGGAGACAAGCGTATTCATTTGCGCAATCTTTTGCTACATAACATTAATGAAGAAATGAGAAAAACATATATTTGCCGGGCGAATATCAAGAACTGACAATTGACAAGATTGAAAGATATAAATGAGAAACGAAAATGCGCGATGGAGCGAGTGTTCGGTGTGCCAGTATTCTCGGGTCGAAGTGACCGCTACTATGCGCCCGCTTTTATGCTAGAACGCACCATCGATTCGCGCATTTTGCGGGGAAAACAGGGTACAGAAAGCGGCCCGGTGAGTCATGAAATAACGAAGGTGCAAGAGTGGAAATGCGGACGCGGCGAAACTGCGATGCGGCGCAATTAAAACGGGGCTTGGACGCGGAACGAAGTGTCTATTTCCTGCTCGGCGTTAATTGAAAATGCAGTTATTTATCATGCGCGATGGAACGCGTTCGGGAAATCCGAAGGGGCGAGGGAAACGATCCCTCATGGCAGGTTGCCAAGCTGTAATTCGAACGACTTGGCAAAAAGGGATGAGGTCATATTTTACTGTATGCTTCAAATATAAGAGATACAACAAATCTGTTACAAAAACTTATTTAGTTGCATAAAAGTTCCAATCCGCTTTACTACTTCACTTATTGTAAATTTAATTTTTTGTAAATGCGTTAAATAAATCATCGTGTGTTTTCACGAATTTAAAGTGATTCGTTGTTGTATTAAACTTTTATTTAACGGTGATACATATGTTGTTTTTTGTATCCATGTGATTTCTTTTAGCCTGACATATTGCGCGGCAAGTTAACTCATAAATGAAATCTGATTAAAGACTCATGCTAATGCTATTTATACTGCGCGCTCTGATTTAGCTTATTCGCGCACTTTAGTATTTAATTGCCACCGTCGCGTAGAACGTAGCATATGAACTTTGTGAACTTTCGCGCGACTTATTTTATGCGTCAAGTGAAAATCGTAAATCGCATTTTACGCCGTAAAAACGTATCACGTGTGCCGAATTATTTACAGTCACGAGCCAAGAGATGAATATTTCGTGAGTTTCCTTTTCGCTTCTTACGATACTGGTGGGAGCGAAATAAAGTTTTATAAAATACGATGAGGATTCGAACGCGTCGTAATAAAAATCGACACTCGTCGTACATAAAAAAAAAGACGGTCTTACTTTGCTTTCGTCGAACAAATTCCGTTTGCTTATATAAAAAGTTAAAGTACGATCTGCGAGCTAATACAAAAAGATACACATACGAGGAACTTGAATTGATCAACTCACCCTGAAACTCTTTCCGCGCTGCACTGACGGAAGTGACGATGTTTGCGACGTGACCCAACACCGTTGCGAATAGCAGCAGACCGAAGAATAGTTGACCAATCACAAAGAGATACTCGCCCTTACTTCTCGGCCTGAAAAGAATAAAAGGAAAAAATATTCGAGATATTAAAGTGCTCGATTAATATTGCTCGGCTTACATTTTTCATTTCCACGGTTTTTACGCGACAATTGAACGATTTTTATGTAAGAGGATAACCTTATACCCATAAGTGCTTTTAAATTTACACGAATATAGAATAGAAGTACATTTCTTCAACTATATCATAAAATGACTCTCTTCAATCTCTATTAGACGATTTCTATTAAATGGTCAGTCACCGTCGTTTTTAATAGAAAATAAAAATTGTCTTTGAATAGAAATATAAATTCCTCTAACAAATGTTATAAATGTTGCTCGGACGTGGAAATATCCTCGGCTTTCTTATTTTTTCGCACGAGTTTTTTTATTTTACTAATAAAAATATTGGATTTATTTGCGCATGCTGACTTTTTTCGTGACAATTTTTAAGAATCCAACTAGGAAAGAATATCTACTGAGCTTTTTTCTGCGTTTACAAACATCTTTCTAATTGAAATATCGCGCAGGTTTCGAAATTGTATATATAACCAAAGTTTGATCAGATATCAAGGAAAATCGCGATATAATTGGTATGAATGCATTTTCGACGCTGCATCGCTGAGAGAATCTAAATATCGCAAAAAATTTATCAATTTGGTTATCGGTTATTTGGTTGTTTTTCTAGTGGTTTTCTTTTATTTGGGTGGTTTAAATATTTTGCATACATATTGTCATCGATTTTTATCAGAGCTACGTTTTACGAGGTCTAGCATCGCGATGTAGAGTTATAATAAAATAGCGCGGTGGTGGCTTGTCCATCGCTTTTTATATTTAAACTGCATGCAAGGTATCATTGCGTGAATACGAGGAATTACGTGCGGAATGTTATATATGATTAATGATAGTGAATCCGTAGGAATACCACGCGGGAAATGCAGATATAGAATTAAAACGGAAAAAAATTCCTACAAGTGAAAAAGGCTATCTTTGATCAAAGTGGTTCTTTGTGCCTAATCATTTTTTGTGAATTTATACCATTTTCAGTTCAAACTAATTGTGCGTTAATTATTTGTTAGTTTTAAAACACACCTAAGCAGGAGTAATTAACATTACAAGTAATTTAATAATTTTGTCGCTCATAGACACCTTTGAAAAATTTGTTACAAAATTTGTAAATAATTTAATTGTGAAAAATATTATCTCGACCGGGAATCAAATCGGATTTCTTGCATTCCGTGTAAGCGAAAAAAATGATTTCTTGTAACTACGTACGCGTTTCATACTTTTTATTATATATTGATCTGAGAACAAATATAATTAATAAACCATAATAATACGAAAAATATTTCCGCGAGTTTTCATAACGTTTTCAAAAGAAATTTTTGAATTTATTCAAGACTCGACAGGTTACGAAGGAGCTGTTGTTTAAATTGTTGCATAATATTGTTTTGCGGCGACTGAAATAACCAAATTTCCTTTATATTCCAGGACAAACTTACCGCATTCCATACACATTTCATTTCATACACTATTTACAAGATCAAATGTATCTTGCCGTATGAAAGCAAAACAGCATGAATAAAATTTACTTAAATGAATAAAAGTTTGCATATGCAAATAAGGGAATTTTATGAGGCTTTTCGAGAGTTGAGAAATGTCTGGTCTCAATATGTCAATGATATATTTGTAGCGCAAAATTTTCCTGTGCAATTCGTAACATATTTACATGTAACGTCGGCGTATAAATAAATGAGTAAATACCTGGGTAGATCACCGATGGTTGTTAGGGCAAGAGTGCACCAGTAGTAGCTTTGCAGATATTGCTTGACAACATCCGCCGTCTCGGAGTCGCTGAATACCCAGTTCTTACTGCCGAAGCCGTTGTTCTTATAAATAATGTGATAGAGGCACCCGTTCCAGTGAAAGATCACTAGTAAATAATGTATCAAGGAGGTGGAGCGAAACAGATTCGGGTAGTTCGTGTGTCGCTCGGTCCTGTCCATGAACGCCCAGAACCTACATCAGAGATAGAGAAAACGGGTTGAGAAAATTGGCTGAAATTCCGATGGTCATGGAGCGATAAATTTCGAGATTCCTCTTAGAATATTCGGCGACAGAAATCACGTGAAGCGAACGTGAGACGAACGTGTTTTTAATCATCGCACATACGATAGAAAGGCTCGAGCTTGTGCCTTCAACAGGTTAAAATATGCTCTTATTTTTTTTTTCAATTATTATTTATGAGTGCGGCCAAATTCTGTTGCCCGCACAATTTTGCGATTTACAGCACAGTCGGGAGCTACGATTAAAACGATTGCGATCGATAATTTACAGTATGAAAAACCGACAGAGAAAAACAGGAGTCTATCATTTTTAATTTCATTTTCATCCAAACTTAAATGAACTCAATCTATACTGATCGTTATGTCAATATGAGATCATGATTGATGGTTTTGCGAAATTGCTGGGAGCGTTAAATGGAATGTATTATTACGTTTGCCATATTACATTTGTCCTCTCTTTAATTCCGATCCTTTTTATCGGTCTTCGTAAATATGTCCATGTTATATATAGGTAGTCCATGTTCTCAATACCATCATTTATCATTAAATGTGGCCACCGATTCCGAGTTCCGTTTGCTTAATACATATGTCATGTTTAAAATGTCAACGTTAGATGAGAGTAAGGTACGCACACATTTATGTAGAAATAAATAGACTAGTATCATTGGTGAATTATCGGTTTTGAAAATCGAATTTTATAAAATGTTGTTTACCTATATAAATCGTCGAGGCAGAAATATCGCGCTGATAAGTACAAAAAAGGCCATATTTTTTCCGCACGTTGCTTAATAAAGAATAATATTGAGATACAACACAACCCATTCGTTCATATTTTTTGTAATACATCCGGAACGGATGTTTGCATCGGAGTATAAACGTTCACGTGCGAAAGATCAGCATTACTGTTACACGCGAACTTTCGCAATACTTTTCAATCTGGGTTTACTCTAAATACGTCGCGCCGCACTCATTGCTGTTCCATGAGAAGAAATCCGAACTTTTACACTTGTACATTCAAAGTCAATCACTGGAGTCAAAACAAGAAAAGAAATTCACAACAATGACTTCAGTGTTTGGAACGGACCAAATATATACTATATATATCGTGTTACTTTTTAAAACTTTTAGAGTGAATTCTATTTTCAAGAGTGGAAGTTCTTAAAGGTTGAAAATTGAGCCTCTCTTTTTCAAAACTAGTTTAATTTTCACTTTTTAGAGTGAGATTTCACTCTGCAGAATTTAGAGTGTACATATACAAATGTTGAAATGGAAATGAAATATTCATGAGTTAAAAACTTTTTTTGTATTCCGCAAATATGTAAAAAATATTCGCAAAAAATATTTCGGTTCGTTACGCTCCACTTAATTCCGCGCCAAATTTTTTTTTCAAATCATGCATCATGCATTAAATTTGTATAGTATGTTAGAATATATCACATTAATATAGTAAATACAGTAAATAAATATATTACAATACATTATAAATACAATAAATGAAATATTGCACAAGATAATGTCATCATAAATTTGGCATTTAATATCGATTCAGTTAATTAATAAATTAGAATATAATCGTAAAGAGATAGTGAAAAGAGTGAAAATTACCGGTAAATTTTTACGAGTCTAAAACTTCGCAGCATACTGTTAAATCCTATAGATAAGTATAAAAAGTCGAGGGGCAGCAGGCACAGGATGTCTATGTAAAACGTGGTGCTGTTCGTATAATGATTTCTCAATTTCGTGGCGTCGGTTTGCAGCACGCCGTCTTCCAAGTATCCCGTTCGAATGTGAAATATTATGTCGAGCACGTATAAAAAATCCGAGAAGTAGTCCAGGCAGAACCACACCCAACGGGTTTCTCCTGCATTCGCAAGCAAACAATACCCATTTTAATGTGCAACATGCGATATTTATGATTAGTATTGATTAATCCTTAACGCTTGATAATTATTTTAAAGTTAAACCGATTTTTTATGTTTCTCTTTTATATATAAATTTTTCTACATTGATGAATTCGTATTAAAATCTCTTCATTTTCAATCAGTTATAATAGGTTATCGGTCGAAAGGCTATTGATGCCTTCGTATTGATCGCTATTATATTTAACTCGTTTTTTTATACTCGTGATTGGGAAAAAGCTTCTACAATGGTCTGCATGTACAAAATATTTCAGAGATGCCTTTATTTTCTATAATTTAACTCATATGTACGCGTTAAAATATATCATTTTATAAATCATAGAGCTATTGCTCGCTTTGATATTCAGTTAAGGTAAATTATAATCGTTTTAACAAAAATCTAATTCGTTTAATAAAATTTCTCAAAACTTTGGAATATGAAATATCATTACCGAGTAATTCACTTTGGAACGTTTTCACATGGATAAAGTGCTTGTAGAAACGTTATTTATACGAGTCACAGCTTATTTTAGATTATTAAAAGTCCTATATTTATTAAAATACATTAAATACGGATCTCATTTATATATTCTACATAAAATCTAGATTCTCTTACAAATGATTCCATAATTTAACAAATAACGAGCTTCTCAAGAAAATAAACTAATGTATTTTCTATTCGAGTTCTCAATTTCTAGATCCCTATGAAAAGCGCGTTTATAAAATTCGAAAGAAGTCATAAGTCATTGCGGACTAACCGTTGATCTCCTGGAAGGCAAACCTATAGATGATCACCCAGAAGTTGTAAAGAAAGGCAAGAGAAACCACCATCGACCAATAGTAACAGAGACGTCCCGCAGGATCGAAGATGAAGGACCAATTTGGCGCACCCGTGCGAAAACCCCTCGATCCAGGTTGCCCGGGATAGCCTCTACTACCGCGTTGCTGTTGTTGTTGTTGCGCCGTGTACCTCCTGAGACAGTAATTCAATGCAACGTACGTTGATTAATTACTTTTGTCCCTGGACGCGTTCTGCGACACGACTGTCCATTTTTTCCGTTACTGTTTGTACCATGTACGAGAATTCGCGTATCAATTTGAAAAATTACGATGGTAAAAGTATTGAATGTTCACAGCACGGGAAAAAATCCCGTGCAATTTTGTACGCGCCAGGCGGTTTTGCAACAAATTTTAAAAACAAGTTTCCTATGTTTATGAAACAATTTTCCCGCAATTTTGCTTCCGACAATTCCGTCGCGAAGACATTTCTGTTTAAAGAAGTCCCTGGCACAATTAAGCGATCTTTAGAAATGTAAGAAACATCGCCGCGGTAAGCCTCCAAGAAGTCATTTGAATATTTATGATACTTCACTACGCAGATTTCTTCATTATATTCATTTTCTTGAACTTTCATCGCGAATTTGACCTCCTACAGGAGAAAAATTAGCATCAAATTGAATTTTTCTTGAAAATACCCGTTTTTCTTAATATTAAGGTATGAAAAAGAATAAGCTTTCGAAGTAACGAGACTTGATATCTGATGATAATTGAAATCGATCCGCAATTACTCGCCAATAAAATACTCACGTTTCAGTGCCGTTACAGCTACTGTTGCTGAGATGATTGACTGATGCCGGTGTGTGGAGATGCGATTGGTCACGCGAGGACGTGAGCGCAACTGTATATGGCAGCTTGAATCTGCCCCTTAGGTGGTCCCTTCTTCTCGGCTTGCGACTCAGATCGAGCTCGCTCGCCCCCCGATTCACGTATCCTCCCTGAAGTGAATCCCGTGACGAGCTGAAGTATCGCTGCGACACAGAATACACCTACACCAATTAGGATGAAAAGTCATGACACTACATTACACGAAAAGAATGGTTTTGAAGTATCCTAAGACTGATATTCAAGTTCCTTATTTAAAGCTCGCCTTAAATACTGTCTTAAGATGCTAATAGAGTTCTCTGATTGGTTCGTAACGTCTTAAGACTGTACTGAAGATAAACTTAAATATAAGAATCGTCTATGAATACTGGTTTAAAATTTTAGCTATAAATTAAAAAAAAATTGTTTGTTATATAATCAAAATAATTATATAGTAGGATAGTCAAACCAGAAACTTGAGTCAAAACTTCGTAGTATTACTCATCATGCTTGAAATTACTACGTAATTATTTTGATAATTTAACGAAATTATTTTTAGATCTGTATCTATATCACATTTTTAGATACCTTACACTGAGAAAGAAATGTACTAAATTTTAATAAATATTTATTTATAAAAATAAAAATAAAAATAATTGTTAAAACAAATTATTAATTTTTATATCACATGAATATATCTTTACTTAGTAAATATTTAGTTGATACAATTCAAACAAATGATTTATTAAAATTTAGTATAGTTTGCCATTGCAGCAAAATCGTTCTTTCCGCGTACTTTATATGCAATTATTTTATATGCAAAAATGCAATGACTATAGAGTTTTGCACAAACATACAATATAAATGCATATTCAATATTTAGTAATACCACATTTATAAATGAGCAGTACAAATATGCCGTGAAAAATATACGAAACATCACAAATGACCATCAGTTTTACTGGGAACTTTATTTACTGGGAAAAATTGGTCATCAATATAATTAATTTTTCTGAAATTAATTTTAGTGAAATTCGACATTTCTCGCACGACCATGGTCTATATCTGTTGTTTAATATACTCATCGTATTTTACTTAATTGTTAACTGTTCTGTTCGATATAATCGTTCTGATTATTTTTCATCTCTCGGAGATCCTCGTATTTTCCACATTGGTTTATTCGTGCAATGTTTGAACCATGAAGGTATGGCTCGTATGCGGTTGTAACGCATAATGAAATGAACGTTCGCCGGATGTTGCGAACGTTGTTATCTACTCGCAGGATTGTTAAAAAAAATTTTTTTCACGTTGAATAGTTTAATATTAAACTCGCTTGTCCTGACAAACTCAGAGATACATGCACATGCACACACACACACACACACACACACACACACACACACACACACACACACCC